TGATGTAAGTATTCTCTATAGACACTTCACTCATCACCCTGGTACAGCTGTGAACCCCGGCGCGAGCCGGACACTTCAACCATTCTAAGCTTGTACCAGGATGGTGTAAGTTTTGTCTATAGAAGGAACCTACATCATCATGGTACAAGCTTGGAATGCTGAAAGGGCCAGCTGGCGCACTGTTCATGCGCTTTGCCCACGTTGGTACGGACTCTGTTGCCTGTGGATTCTATCCGATGACTCACCAGTCCCGCCCCCATCCACGGTCGCTTGGGCACCCGCTCGCAAGCCCGGCAAGCCCGCGCTGTGCACGGGGCGCTCTCCGTCACCAAGTCGACCAGAGCCTATACGTTCTTTGGGAGGCCCGCCCGCATTGCCAGGAACTCGTCTGGAGTGAGGGGTGCATTGCTACAGCCCTTCGGTGCCTTTCTAAAGTTGCACCACCGCATGGCGGCCGCACGCACCGCCGGCGTGATGTCCGATAGGCCGTTGCGGTACTTCCACTCGCAGTCGATGAGCTCCCTTGGAGCATCAGATGGCCACAGCCCTCCAACGCTCAGCGGTGTAAAGCCACCCCCCACGGTGGGGGCCCCCGGCCCTGGCTCTGTTATGCTGTGGAGCCCACTCTCCTTGGCGTCTCGCATGGCGCTCGCGTTGGGGAAGAAGGTTCCATCGAACGTGATCACCTTGTCCGGGCCAAAAGCATAGGTCTCCAGCTGGTCCGCATCCCCCTCCGTCCGCTCCCGTGCGAGAGGCGTGCCTCCTTCTCGAGCAGCCGCCTCGGCTGCTAGCACCTCCGAAGTGTACAAGTGCGAACAATCCGGCCGCTTGCACGCATGCTGAATGGGCCTGGCCGCCAGGTCGTTGAAGGCCCTCATGGCGGAGTCAAAGACCCTATCATCCAGGCGGGGCGCTCCGGGCCCGTCCAAGCTGGCCGCAGCCATATCGTTTGCGTCGAAGCCCAGGGTGTGCGAGGCGCCCAGGGCGGCCGCAAAGTGATTTCGCAACAGCAGGCCGTGGGAGATCAGGTTGGTGCCAGAGAAGTTGAAGATCCCATCCTCCTGAATGAGCGGCGCGTACGAGCGTCAGCAAAGTTTCCGCATTAGAATGCACACGAGATGAGCAAAGCCCATGAGGAAGAACGTGAGCAAAATGACCACTTCGCCCAGGTGCTAGCCATTGTCAGCTCAAAGAGACTGCTCAACATTCAAGACACCGCCTCCGCTATCGCAACATGCACCGACGCGAGAGACCGTGTGCAGCCTCTGCTGGTAGACTCGCCAATCTCGTTGACCCCCGGACCATTGCAGATGCTATGCGACGCCCCATCCCAGCTGTGCTCCGTCTGTTCCAGGAAAGAAACGCGACTGCGTTGCCCGCTACAGCCACACGCGGGCAGAGCGGTATGCGAACGCTGCTGGGAACATGATCATTGGAAAGAACTCGAATTTCTCTCGTGGAGAGAGGCACGCGATATTTATAAAGTGACCAATGAAGGTTTGAAGACGCTGCAATGGGCCCAGTCGCCTCATCGCTGGAATCAACGCTACTTCAGAGAGCTTGACGTCAGGTCGCTGGCAATCCAAGAGGCGGGCGGCGTGGCAGCATTTCAAGTCAGACGAGACAAGGTTCGATCGAATGCCCGCGCGCGAAGGCTCGCAAATCTGGTGCGGCGCTACGATGACCTGTCAGCCCTCGGAATGGATATCGAAAGACAAGTCTACCTCGCGGGCCTGCTCATCAGGGACTGCATCAATCTACAGGTCCCGAATGGGAGCCGTCTGCTTGACGAAGTGATACATGCTGCAGCGAGCACTCAGAATCAATCGGACGACGGAAATCTTTCCAGTCATCTGGACTGGATAGCCCCCCTCCATTCCCTAAAGCGCTACACAGACTTCAAAAAGGGCACCACGCAGCCTTGAAGTTTTCCCCTTATTTGTGCCCGCAGCTGATGGCGAGCCGTCGGATGTCCTCGCCTTCCAGTTCACCCCTCTTTTTTGCCGACACAATCATGGCCTTGAGCTCAGCCTTAAGCACTCGAGTAGCTTTTGCCTTTGTCTTCATGTTGGCCTTGCGCTCCTCCATCGCTGCGTTGGCCCTGCCTATGTAGGGCCTTTCCTCCGCCAGGATGGCAAATTGCGCCTCGACATGGCGACGGTCTGTCCTTATAGGCGGGCGCCGCGCGCCCCTCTTTGCAAATGCTATTGCTGCAGCGTCCTTTTCAGCTCTGGTCACTCTCGCAGCAGCAATGGCGCAGTTGACATGCATGTTTTTGCGCGCTTGCCCGCCACCGGACCTAGCCTCTTCAATGGACTCCGTCATCAATGTACGTTCATCGACGGAAATCATAAACTGGCCTGAACGCGCCCTCACCTGCCCATCGTATGCCAGGCTGCAGCATGCAGCCACTCTACCCGGCTGCATCGCACACACCCTCCGATGTACGGTCACCGGATAGCGAGCCCCCGCCATGGTCAGCATACCCTTGCGACTCTCCATCACCCACCGCCTCCCGCATGGCGCTGCATCCTGCAACGGCCTCGGCCCGCAGAAATGCTTGGCAGCATCGCGCTGTGCCACGCCGCTGTCCCCCCACCGTTCGCAGGAGTCGACCACCGCCCGTCCCCCGCGGCTCATGACTGTGTCAATTGCCTTGTGCGAGTGGCCCATGTCCAACGCTGCTGCCGGCGGACAGAGCCACTCCTCGCGAACGTGCGCGCAAGGGCCCGCAAAATCCAAAGAGCGGCAGGTCGGATCGTTGCACACCGTCAGCCGCTCTCCTGACTCCCGGAGCGCCTCCAACACTTCGAGTTTATCTCTGCGCTGGGAGGCTCCTCGAGCCGGCGGGGGCACAGCACCTCGCCTCACAGAGACACTCCCAGCTTCGACTACCAGCTGCAGATGCGAGCAGAGGCTCTGCTCATGGCTAGCCACCTTGCACCGGTCGCAGTGAGGCCGCCCGCCCATTCCCAAGCTGCACACCGCGTCGCCGTCTGGCTCTGTCCCAACGACTGCAAAGACTCTGAGCCGAGCCCCCCGCCATGCCTGGGCATTGAGCCCCTTCAACCTCGGCCCGAGCATGCCATTCCGATCGATCGGAATGATGCCCGCGCCATC